TAGAAAAATTATAAAATATAATATAGAGCTAAAAATAAATATATACTAATATAGGAAAAAAAATAAATTCTATTACAGTACTGTTTATAATTTTTCTTATTGCTGATTATGCAGAAAATCTATTTTCTTTTCTACTGATTTCATGTTCAAGTAATCATCAAGGAGAGTTAAATTATAAAAATGGTAAATATTTATAAATTTGTATCTTATTTTAAATACTTAAGTAGTAGATCACAGTTGAAAAGTATAAATTTCATAGTAAAAATTAATGAAAAATTACTATTACTTTTATATAATGTTGGAATGCTAAAAGTTTCTAACATTATATAAAAATCATATAGCTATAAAGGAAAAAATATTAATAATTTACAATTTATTAAACCAATTTGAATAATTTTATTACTATTAGAACCAAAATAACTTATTATATAATTTTTGTTAGAAACTCAAGAAAGGTTTACTTGGCATGAAAAAAACTTTTTATTGTAAGCTAACTGCATTTCAACTCTATAAAAAAACTATATTAACTTCTGGTAATTTTTATTATTAAATTTACTATTTTTATATCCTTTAACTATAATTTGCCTTATAATTATTTTTGATATTTATTAAAATAAATTAAAAATTAAAAATAGTTCATAAATTTGAATAATCTAATATACTTATACTTGATTTAAATCTAGATTATCTGAGTTGTTCAGATCTTATATGAATTTACTCAGTTGATTTTAAAAAGATTTCAAAACTGAGTTTAAGTAAAATTCAGTAAAATATAGACTGAGATTCAGAAAGCTTGTGACATAAAATGAAACTAACTTGAACTAAATCTTAAAGCCATCCTAGTATTGCCTATAAACAATATAGTTTACATAATAATTAAAGCTCTGAATTAATAATGATAATGATAAAGCACTGTTTTTAGTATCTTCTATAAAAATGAGTATGTAGCTAATGTAATAGATAAAATATCAGATCATATTTCTATTATGCTATGATTAACTTTGTATAGCAAATATAATACAGAGTAGAAATATAAACTAATTATAAGAATAGTCAATTTAGACAGTATAATTAGGAAATCAAAATTTGATATCATATATACACTATTATAATTGCCTCATATATAGAGGTTCTCACTACTCTTCAAATAATAAAGAACAAAGCAATTAGCAGAATCCCTAAGATTCTAATATGGTTACAAAGCATATAAATAATAATTTGTCCAAATTTAACATTAAAGTTCACCAAAGAAATATTTTTATTTCAGTTATGCCAAGTGTTTAATAAAAACAAGTACATAATGATGTTAGGTTATTATTATATATACAAATTTCTTTAAAAAACAAGTACAATCAACTCTTTATATAACGAACTAAAGATTATAAAAATTTATATTTTTCTTAAGAACCCATGACACTTCTATACTGAGTTATTATGAAATTTTTTGCACTTTGATTTTGTGAATTAATTATGACATTAGCTACATTTTTTATGGGTAATACTAGGATAGCTCAAATCTTAATGTCTCATTTAAAAACTTAATTATGATTATTGTAAGGGTATGTACAATTTCTACTTCAAAACAACTAGATTTCAAAGAAACTTGTCCTTATGTTCCTATTAAGGGTTCTAACTTTAATAGTTTATTTAAATAAGTGGATTAATAATAATGAATATTAGTGTTCAATGTTTAAATGAAAGAGTGAAAAAAAATTTTGGTATTACATAATTTATATTATATATGTATCGGAAATTTCACTTAGTATTTACAATGCAGGAAGATGTTCCCCTCATGCAAATCCGGGTTACACTTGACGTACCCCCGACGCACTAATCACGGTAAGGCAGCGAAAAAAACCAGTGCTAATATGTATAAGTAGTTTATATGTATTATATGTTAGTTATAACATGGACTGATTGTTACGCATAGTGATTGAACCCAGGTAGGATGGGTCAGATATCCGGGTTATGATTATGTCCACCCGGATAGGCTTGGACGGGTTGACCCGCGGGTCACCCGTGGGACAACCTGTGGGTCCACCCTAGAGCAGTTTTGGCACCGGACAGTTGTGGACATGGTTCGGACATTTTTTGAACAAATAAATAAACTAAAATTACTCAAAATTTTATTAAGTTAATCTATTTTAACTTTCTAAATAAAAATATTCAGCACTATAAAAATATATAATTATATATTTTTTAAATCAATATATTAATTTTTGGAGCTTGTACGTATATGCTGTGAACATTCTTGGACATGTGAACATTTGAACATTAGACATGGTTTAAAAAAGTCTTGGACATAGTAGACGTGACAACACTGCCCTAGAGTGTGATTCGACATAATATTCGCATAATTCACCTTACGGCACATAAAATATCCAATTTTAATTTAAGGAAATTCGCATAATCTAGCATTTTCGCCTTTGAAGAAATTTCTGATCAATTGGCGTTACACGGAATCTTGTCATAAAGTCGCCCTATATTATACTCTAACGCTGGCCAATTTCGGGCTAAACTAGATATACTTTCAAAAATCATTGATAACGATTATGTGCCAACTACATTCATGCTTATAATAAAACATTTCTAATAAAAACTTCGAACCTTTAGGTTAGGGACAGGATCTATCAAAGAAGAGCTTGTATATGACATAGTATTCAAAGATTTAATAAATTTTTATTCTGACCCAGGCTTGACGGGTAATATTTGTACCCGATAGACCTGCCTGTCTACCCGGGTGACCCGCGGGTCTATCCGTCGGGTAACCCGGGTTGTACTTTTTAAGACGGGTTCAATCACTAGTTACGCATCCCCAATAAAGGTTATGATAACCATTTAAAATATAAAAGCTTCACAGATATGTGCCGTCCAAACTGTTTGGACAGCCCATAATTAGCATCACATATGGTTTAACCTTAACCTGGTTTTAACCATATGTGATACTAATCATCACATGGTTCGTCCCAAATACGTAGTTAGGACATATGATCAATTATATTCTTTGTCCAAGAACGCGTAGCACTCATATGGACCAAAAATCTATTCGTATCATATATAGATTGTTTAATTGATTTTATTGGTTGATAGTCACGATTTGATACACATAAGTTAGATAAAAGTCTTCATAACTACTATAAATCAACATTGGTGAGAATCATGTTAATCCGCGACATTTATGTATTAACAAAAACGACATATACTAGTCATTTCAAGATCATTTACTAACACTGGTATGTACGTACGTAATCAAATATCAGATATTAAACTAAATAAATGTCGAATTGTACGACAAAGTAAAGATATAATGATGCATCGTTTAAAATTTTTCCTTCTTGCTGTACGATAACCATAACGATAATAGAAAGTTGGTAGAATAATAATAAAAAAAAAATCGAAATTCTAACATTGCCCAATGAATCTAATTTATGATGCAAAGAAATAAGGATTACCATTATGAAGCAGAATCTGTAAGATTTTATTTTGCTCATAATTAGACTTCCCGCAACTATATATAAGTTCAGCCAACTCTCCATAAATTCATCCTTTATTAATGCACAAACTATTTATACATTCTCTAAAATGCACAATTTATCACATGGTGTATATTTATGGAGAGTCGACCATATATCATTAATCTCATAATTTAAAAATTTTAGGTAAATGACCTTGCAGATGTAGCTTGTCAAGCCATAGATGAAATTTCAGAAGAGCTCAGAGAAATTGGCTTAAAGGTATAAAAATTTGAACCATTATTGAACTCAAATTATTTATTCTTACTTTATTGAGTTATTATTCAAGATTTGTAAACTTATTCTTTTGAAATAGATTCACGATCACCCGGAATTGGGATATGAAGAGAGATTTGCTCATGAATTATTAGTTAATTATCTGAAAAATAAAGGATTCAAAGTAACTTCAAGTGCTTATGGTCTTGAAACCGCCTTTGTGGCAGAATTTCAATCCAAGGCAGGCGAAGGTCGTGTTGTTGCCTTTAATTCTGAGTAAGTAAATCCTAATATATATATATTTAATTATAAACATTTTTGACATTTATTTTTTCACAGATATGATGCGTTGCCGGAGATAGGACACGCATGTGGACATAATCTTATTGCTATTAGTGGGGTTGCTGCTGCTGTTGGTCTTAAAGCTGTACTTGAGAAATTCGAAATTGAAGGCACTGTGAAACTGTTTGGCACGCCTGCTGAAGGTAATTCATTGTTAATTTAAAATTTTCTTGTTATTGTTTTATTAATTTACATTAATTTTTTAGAAAATGGGTTTGGTAAAGTTGATTTAATCGAAGCTGGTGCTTATAAAGATGTTGATGCTTGTTTAATGCTTCATCCAAAGCAAGTTTTTTTTTCAAATTATAGGTATTGTTTATTGGATCTTTTGTTTATGATTTTTTAAATATTCTGTAGTGTGTATGATGGTGCATTTTGCCATTTCATTGCTCTCAATTCGGTTGAAGTTGAGTATTTCGGAAAGCCTTCACATGCATCAGGTAAGTTTTCCATTGTGTTTTAATTATAAAAAAAACTTGCTAATTCCCAAATTCATGAATATTTAGGTGCTCCGTGGGAAGGTATGAATATTGCCTCATTGATACGATTTGACGTTTCATTAACATAAACTTATATGGGAATATAGGAATTAATGCCCTAGATGCTATAGTGTCGGCTTATAATAGTATCGGATTGTTGAGACAGCAAAATCTACCTACAAACAGGTAGTTAGTCATACAAAATTAATTTTTTGGTTTTCATAACCAACCGAATCAATTTTGTTAACCTTTAAAATTAGAAAAATTTTTCACATAATTCCCGGGAGAATTTCATATTTTTTATAATAAAATATAAAAAGCGGACTGTAAGGATACTTTCATTTACGTTATGAAAACCAAAAAATTAACTGTCATTACGTAGACATCTTTTCTTTTTTAAGTAAACACGTTCAGTCACTTGATAACAATGAACTTTATTAGAATTCATGGAATTATTACTAGCGGAGGAGCTGCACCAAATGGTTTATTTCTGATATTTACCTAAATGAATTATTAATTATTTATGATTGAGGCCAATAATATTTTATTTATGAATTGGGTTTTTAGTTATACCGGATTACACTTCTGGGAAATTTTATGTACGAGGAAAGACCGTTGAAGATTTAAAAGCCCTTTGTCCACGTGTACAAAAATGTTTTGAGGCAGCGGCCGAAGCCACAGGTGCAAAACTTAAATTGAAATGGATACGAGAAGTTTATGGTAAATTTTCATCATTTATAATAATAATAATAATAATAATGATAATAATTGTCGTGGCTGAAGCTCGAAATTTTAATTATTTTAATATGAATTAGAAATTTTTGGGGGTGCATTCTTTTTGGCTTTTTTTTAATAGTTAGATTAGGGTTTAGGGTTAGTATTGATAATAAAAGGGTATAAGTGGATTTTGGTAGTGTTTATATTTTTAAATCGAGATCCTTAATTTCAAGTTTCAGCCACGACAATAATTGACTAAAATTTTATTTTTACTATTTCATAGATGTAAAAATAAATTCACCAATGGCAACGCGCTATGAAACCTACGATTCTCAAAAATTCGGAACCAAATTCCCTTCAAAAGAACAACAATCTTCAATTTCATTCGGTACTACAGATCAAGGAAACGTAACATATGTAGTCCCAGGAATTCATCCGATTTATAACATTTTTGAGTCACCTGCTAAGGTTAGAAATCATACTCGAGAATTTGCTGCTCAGGCGAGAACTAAATTCGCACATGACAAAACAATAGAAGCTTCGAAGAGTGTAACATTAGTTGGATTGGATATTTTGATTGATGATAAGTTTTACAAAGAGGTTAAGAAAAGTTTTGATGGCGTTTAAAAGATAATATTTAAAAATATGAATGCTAATTATGATGATAGTATAGTCAATTCATCATAAGTGAGAATCATCGGGAAATGTGTATTTATGAAGGGAAAAAATGCAATTATGTTTAAATCGATTTCGAGTAATCCTTAATACGGTTATTCACATATATTATCAGCAGCTACGCAATTAACTATTTATATATATATAACATACTTCGAATTTCGGAAGCATCTACATATGTCCTATGGTCTTTTGAAGTCTCGAGGCTGAGCTCAATCCTTACTTTGCTCAATCGTTTTTAAGATGTGCATAACAGGAATATAAGATGCAGAAGCATCACACGTTACCCTAAGTGTATAAAAACGAATAGCGAGAAAAAAAACAAAAGAACTAGCAATAAAGCAGCATAGAATAACATAATTCAATGGTTAAAATCCAACCATCATTGATATTCGAATTTAACGTTAACCCTAACAAAGATAATATAATTATTACAACTTTTGAGAGATTCTTTTTTCCACCCTGTGTAAGGATGGGTTCGGTCAGTTATTATCAGTTATGACTAGAGTTCCTATCCACTATCCGTTTATCCGAAGAACTACACCAAACTGCACACGTGTGATAGCCAATAAAATTGCCAGATCAAGTGTAACATAAAAAAAACCAATAAAAATTCGCATGTCACGTGTTAAACAAATTCTGATATCGTATATTTGTATAATACTGTAATACATTCTATACATTCTGATGTAGAGGCCCGCATTGGGTCCCGTCCCGCAAATTTTACGGGCCGGGCCGGGCCGGGCCGGGCCACAAAAATAGGTAATTTGCAGATGTAAATAAATTGCCCGTGTAACTTATTATGTACTTTAAAGAACTTTTTGAGAACACAACGTTTCGCCAATAAAAAATCACCGCAAACCCCATTTTTCGCTTCGATAGAACGTCTATATTTATTATGCAAAAATAATCAGTAATAACCATTATCCGATAGCTTACTATGATCGGACTATCAGAATAACTATACATTATTCGACATTTCATATGGTCACGTAAATTTTTTTGCCATGATATTTTTTGCGCACATCCGTAATCTGTGACAGGGTAAGCCACTAATTTCAATCACCGTCCGATTATACGTATTCCCAGAGTAAGACTTGACTATCATAAATTCAAAAGTGCTTTTAATATTAACTAAACAAATATTTATATAAAAAATAAAAACTTAATTTACTTTAAGCAAAGCAACCAATATGTCATTTCTTTAACCGTGCTATTGTTCAACACATTCTTTCTTAAAAGATACTTAATCCTACCTCTTTCGAATGAAAAGACTCAAAGAGCTGAATTCTTCTTTCTTCCATATCATTTATTCGTGAACTCACATTTTAGCAGCACTTTTGATTGAACAGTCGCGACTAAAATCATAAAGACAAATATTCGGATGATTTTATTTTTATTACATTACACTAATCTTTGAATTTATCTAGCTAATATTTTGGAAGTTTAAATTAATAACTAAAATTGATATGATGCCGGAAATATTGTTCTCATCCATGTTCTTAATTCAGTTTTATAAAAATATATCAAAATTTGTATAACCTGCACTTTATTAAAAAATTGGTTCTCTTTTTACAGTAAGTCTTATTAGAGGTCGATAGGTTATTTAAAACTTTAATTTGATCACTTTACTCATGTTAGATGTAAATAAAATAATTTATAAAATTGCAAACAAAATAAAGAATAACCAAATACGATCAAATCATTTTCGTAATGATAAGCCTTTCACAATCAGCAGTGCTTGAAATCAGTGGCTTAACCTGTCACAGATTACGGACGTGCATTTTTCACATGAAATTACGTAACCAGTTTTACAAAATATCACGGAAAAAACTTCCCATGGTCATATTAACTATCAGATTTTTTCATTGGAGTTAATTAATTTCATTCATGTGCTGCGTGGCAGAACATGGAGTGACATTAACTCCGACGAAAAAAAATTTCTTGTTATTTGTCGTATGTATGCCCAATATTGTAATGAACTTTACTTAAAAGACAATATATGTTTACCATTAATTGTACCAGACCTAATTATATTGTATAGTAAAAATGTTTAAAACTATTTTTATTATATTAGATTTAAATACAATATGAAGAATTAAATCAATTTTTTATAATCATGATTTCTTACCTATTTCTTTATTTGTCTTGAATACATCTTTATAGATTTTGTTAAAAAAAAGAATTTTTTAAAAAAAGTTTATAAAAATTCAAAAAAAACATGAAAAAAATTCATAATAGATAAAAATGCAGTAACAAACATCAGAATTGTTGTTTTGTTAAGAAGTATTTGTTATACAATAACTTTGTGGATAAAAAATTATCTAGTCAATCTGCAATGATAAGAACAACATAGTTGAAAAATTACATATCAAATAATTTATGATTATATATAATTTGAAGAGCTTGTATATAATTATATATATTTTTTAACTTGTTTTTAATAAAATTAACAAGAATAACATACTTAATATAATGTTCACTTTTCTTTTTTACTAATTTGTTATTATAGTTATGTAATGTTAGTCTGTTTAGAAATTTATTGTTAGTATATTTTTTTTCTATATAATTTTATATATACTTTTAATTATAATAAGAAATTCTAAGGTTAGTAATAAATTGTTTATCAGAATGCTTTATAATCAATGTATCATTAATGATCTTAGAATTAGAAATATAATAACTTAATAAAATAGATAAGTTATTAACTTTCAAGTAACAGGTTGTGAGTTTAAAATTTACTAACAATAAAAATTTAATTACTTATATTATATATAGACAGTATTATAGTAATAATATTTTGTTGATTAGTTAGAATAAGATATTTATAACTATAATTATACTAGTATAATTGACAGATCACAAATATTTATTTAATTTTAGTTATACAAAGAGATACAAACTAATACTAGGCAGTGCAAATCCAAAATAAGTTCTTGTATCTATATAAATTTGTTAAATTAGAAATACTTGAAAAGAATTTAAATAGAGAAGTAATATATATTTTTAATAATACTATTATAAAAACTAAATTCAGAGATGTAGCAACCTAGTAAAGTGATCAGGTTGTCAATTCCCAAGTAATAGATTAGGTGTTTAAATCTTATCAATAATAAAAATTTAAATAATCATTTATGTAATATTTATATTATAGTAACTATTACTAATGATTAGGTTAGAATATTTGTAATAGCAGTTATACTAGCATAATTGGCAGGTTATGAGGCATCTGTACAATGTTGAAGTTATACAAAAGAATACAACTGACAATTAGGTAGTGCAAATACTAGATAAGTTTTTGTAGTTATATAAATCTATTGAAATTAGGTAACAAGAAGTTTATTTGAAAAGACCTAAATAAAAAGATAATCAGATCTTTGATAATACTACTATAAAGGCTAGACTACTGAAAATAAATACCAAGATCATAATACCAAAACAAGCAAGAACCTTTAAATTAGAGAAGGCTCAGAGGTACTACTAACTAGATTGCCAAAATGAACTAGAGAAAAAGATATTGGACTAATCTAATATATTAATAGACTAGTTATAATTTTACACAAGTTATCTAAATTGAAAGTCTGATAAAAAGATAAAAGTATACTAAAGTACTAAAAATATATTGTAAAGTAGATGCTAGAATCTGTATAAACTCTACAAGAGTACAGTAATTTAATAATTAGCCTTGATCATAAGTGTTAGCTCTGTTATATTAATATTAAGTTAACTGTAAAAATAAGTACAGAAGGTTCTGAGAGATTTATTTTAAGAATAAAATAGTCTTAAAGTTAAGATGATAATTTGGACATCTGGGTATGACCTAGTAAAATTAATATAGATTGCAGATTTAGAAAGTTTAAAATAGAATACCTAAGCAGAAGTGTTAAATATAACAATTAATAAAAATCTTTGTGCAAACTTCTTAAATAAGTAATATAGGAAAGTTATATGTATAGCCAATTGTATGCTCTTCTGTAATAGTTCACTGAATTACATTACCAAAAAAGTTATTAATAAAAGTCAAAAGACCAAAGAGGTCATTTTAATACCAAAAAAATAAAAATAAAAACTAAATTCAAAAAACAGATATTAATGTAAAAGAATCAAATAGACAAAAAATTTTAAATAAATAATATTATTAATCAGATTGCTAGGTTTGAACTAAAAGAAAAAGATATTAAACTAAACTTGATAGATTAAAAACAGATTACAGTTTTTTTAAGTTATCTGAATTAGAAGTTTAAAAACAAAAGTATTAATATATTAAATACTAGAAATATTATATATTATGAAATAGATATTAAAGTATAGGTAAATTTTATAAAAATAAATTCTTGTTAATAATCTGTAAAGTAAATAAATAGTTAATAAAAAAGGCTTTCTAAATTTAATTAATAGATATTATGCTTTAAAATATATAATAATCTAAAAACTAGTTCAAAAAAAAAGATATTATATTACTCTAATAATATACTAATTATATATAAAGATAAAATGATTTTAAAAAAATAAAACCTAAAATTTTTTTTAACTTTAGCAGTTATACTAGTATTTTATTAGGATTCTTGAAACTATATAGATTACATAAAATTTTTCTGATATATAAGTCTAGCATTACTTAATCATTCAAATGCTACCTAAATACGACATGTCATACTATTTTAGTTAGAGACAAACTGCTCGTCTGATTGCTGCTCTACAATAGAACATCACTAATCTGATGACATCTTTTTGTAGAGAAACAAAAAACCAAAAAAAAATTTTATATAAAAAATAAAATAGAGATATAGAGGTAAATGATAAAAGATACAAATCAAGAAATAAAAGAGAAAAATGAAAAAATGAAAAAAAAGAAATGTATGAAACTTGCAATTCACAAATATCAGATGGTTACAATTGTATGTCTGTGTTAGGTCTTTAAAAATTATAAACTATACTAAATAGAAATAACT